AAAAAAAAAAAAAAAAAAAAAAAAAAAAATCAAATATGCACATCAAAGTAAAACATTAAAAATCCACTCAAAAGCAAGAGGGTGGAGCTCCTGCTTTCGGGAAAGAAAGCAGTCTGGGCCCCAGAAAGGGCTCCTGGACTCGGGGAGGAGGTGCTGCCTCGCTGGGTGGGTGATGTGCAACACTGAGAGACTTGGAAAGGTTTCTTGCATCCAGGGCGGACAGGCTAGATGCCCTCCGCTGGGGCTGGGACGGGGCTGGCCGGCCGCAGGGATAGGCTGCCTCTTTGTCCGAGGCCCTGCCCAGATGCCACGTTGAGATGCTCCAGGACAAATGGGAAAGTTTTTCCTGCGCTCTCATCTTCCTGGGCCCAACTACATCGTCTTGGGTCAATGTGCAACTTCCTCCTCCCCTCCCATCTCCTTTGTTTTGGCCACTGCCCCTCCTTCCCAGACCCCCCCTTAGGTCGCTAGCTGTCCCACCGCCCCTCTCCCCCATGTCCCTCAGACCCTCTCCCGTCACCCTAGGGGCCCCCCCGCTGGCTCTCGGCTGTCAGTGGAGGAGGGGAGGAGGTGGCTGACACCGGCCGTCCCGCAGAGGCCCTGTCGGGGCGCAGGCCCGCGCCTGTCTGGCCACAAGTTGTACAGGACAACACCCCTTGGTCGCGCCGTTCTGTCCCCCACTTCCCTGGCAGGGGCTGGCGCCTCGGCTTACGTGCAGTCCTGGTTGAAAGAAAAGCAGCTGAGCGCCGCTTCGACCCCGCCCGGGGGGGCCTCCGCGGCCTCGGCCTCCATCGGGGGCTCGACCCGGGAAGCCGCAGATCCGAGCCGGCGACAGCCACCTCAGCAGCCCGCCGGCTCCAGCTCCACGGGCCGGGTCCGCGGCCCCGCCCCGCCCCTAGACACGCCCCTAGACCCGCCCCTGCCCGCGTTGCCCCGCCCCTCCGTGTCCTTTTGCTGGTCCCGCGGAACGGCGCGGCTGACAGGGAGGGGCCCCTATCGCAGGTCACCATTGGCCACAAGCCCATGCCGCGACGGGCGGACACATCCCTCCTGGCCAATCAGCGTCGGCTGTAGGCGGAACCTCCCGCTGGCGATCCGCCCCCGGCTCCTCGACGCGGCTCGCCATTGGGCGAAAGCTAATGACGCAAAGGCTGCAGGCCACGTGGTGGTGTTTTCACTGCCAGAGACGCCCAGCGGGGAGGGAGAAGCGGCAAACGAAGGCGGGTAGGGCCGGGTCTGCTGGCTCCGGTCCGGCTTCTGCGTCCCGGCCGCAGAGGGGACAGGCGGACGCGTCCGTTCCACCCCACCCAAACCCCTGTCACGTGTAACTCTGCCTATGAAACTGACACAGTTTAGTAGAGAGCGTTGGACGCCAAGGCCCCACCCTTTTGTCGAGTCCTGAAGCTGCTTTGAGAGGAGTTTATAAGATGGGGCTGCTGTGACCACATAGGAAGTTATCTTACCGTGGCCGTGGGGTTGGGAACTCTCACTGCACGCCAGGCGCTGCCTTATGTGTACCGTCTTGTCGAATTCGTATAAAACCTTGTGTGGAAAATGTAATTGTGCCCAATTTGCAGAAGAGGCAATTGAAGCACCGAGCGGCTGAACAGTTTGTCTAAAGTAACAATAAATGGCAGAACGTGTATTTGTCTGCTTTCAAGACCTGTGCACTAAACGATCCTGCTAAACAGCACTTGGCAAGACCTATCTGATCGGTAGCCGAGAAAATGAAAGAAAATATATATAGGACGGTGTAGTTTATGAAAGGGATACAGGTACAGTCTCGAAGACATAGCGCCACTCAAAATTCACATAATTCGAAATGAATCCTGACAAAGGCTCTCTTTTCCCAAATAAGTACGTGTTGCCATGTGGAATTACCATTAATACAGTTTGTGAAGCAGGGACTCTGCCAGCTTTGGATTTATATAACTACTGACAAGTTTTCAATTCATGCCTTCTCAAGTTTTGAGATGAAATATTTTAATTATTGTTATGCCACAGCATTTCAAAAGGGCATAAGTCAAATTTACCTAGTTCATGACAAAGCTATATATATTTTTGGGCCTTGGACCTAGAATGGATGAGCAAAGATCACTATTTCACTTAAGCTTTTCTGGTTGGATTTCCTGTGTGGGTTTTCTGAAATGCAAATATAACAGTTTCTTTTCTCAACTCTATTATTCTTTCTCTCCACTGACGTAAAAAATAGTTCAATTTATAGATCTACAGTTGCTGATTGATCTTTAGCCGACTATGAGGTGTCGTATAATTGTAAGATAAAAGAACTGTTTGGATACTTTAATTGTGTCATCTTTGTAACCTTTCAGATCAAAGGTGCTTCACCTCCTCTGCTCCTATCTCAGTTAAATGCTTCAATCCTTTCTGTTCTATTTAGAAAACCCAGAGTCTAGCATGCTAGGTGTTAGGTTGTTGGGAGAATTACATAAAGTGCTCAGTAAGGTTTTTAAAGTGGAAGCTGTTATTATCAGTTTGTTATTAAAAGTTTGGACTTTATGGGGCCGAGTTGAGAGCTGGTATTAGTCTTTGAGCGGGTGTGTTTCATGATAAAAGCAGTGTCTTATGCAGATAAACTCGGCCAAGGTGTACAAAACGAATTATAAGTGGGGAAAGGCCTAGAAGTCTTTAGGGAACTAATGTGCAATTCTAAGAATGAAGGGACGCAGGACACTAGATTACTTTGATGGCAGCTAGGCCAGAAAGGTTAGGACGAATCTAAGAGATGTTTTGAGGCAGTGCTGTCTGGTAGAAAGATAGTATGAGCCACAAATGTGACCTGTATACGTAATTTAAAATTTTCTAGCAGATACATTAAATAAGGTAAAAAGAAATGGGCAAATTAATTTCAATAATGTATTTTATTCAACCCGATGTCAAAAATATCATTTTAATAGGTAATCAATATAAAATTATTAATCAGTTAAATTAGATTTTTATTTTTGTTAGAGATAAGTATTTAAAATCCAGTGTGTATTTTTCACTTGCAGTACACCTCTGTCTGCACCACATTGCAAGTGCCGGTGTGGCTGGTGGCTACCTCATTGCTCTGTGGAGTTTGGTGGGGCGGGGGAATGGCACAGAAGAAGGGGGAAGAGGCAAAGCTGATTTCAGGGTTAGGAAAGGGGAAGTTGATTGTGCTGCTTTTAGAAACCAGATCTCTGGGCAGGTCTTTAGGAAGATGTATTTAGTTTCACACATGTTGTGGTAGCAGCAGAACTGAATACTCACTGGAATTAAGGTTCAAGCCTAGAGATACAGGCATGAGGGAAGCCTGGTCACCTTCCCAGTCCCATCTTTCCTGTGCATGATCCCCCTTCTGTGTTTGTTCCTGGGTTAATGTTCTGTGTCCATGACACCACCCATGGGAGAATAACATCCCAGGGCTGTCCCATCTGATTTTATTTTTTTCCAAGACAATGCTTAAATCTCTATTTTTATATAAATCTATGTTTATTTTTATATAAACCTATATTTCTGTGTACATTTATAAATTGTTGAAAACTACTTCTTGTTTTCCAAAAATAGCATATGGGCCAAACTAATTACATCAGCTGGCTGGATGTGGTGTGTGGAGGGCCAGTTGGTGACCTCTGTTAGACGCGTAAGCAGCTGCTTTGAGGGGTTCCACCTTCAAAAAAAAAAAAAAAAAAAGTTTCCAGAAGTCCATTTGTATAAAAAGCCAAGGAAAAGGTTATAAGTAAATTCAGAGGTGCTGAATTCGTCAGGCTGATTTTTCTTTTTTTAAGTTCTAGTTCTAGGTTCTTTTTTTTTAAAAAAAGATGACTGGTAAGGGGATCTTAACCCTTGACTTGGTGTTGTCAACACCACGCTCACCCAGTGAGCGAACCGGCCATCCCTATGTGGGATCCGAACCCGGGGCCTTGGTGTTATCAGCACCGCACTCTCCCGAGTGAGCCACGGCCCTAAAACTAACTTTCCTTCGCACTAAGCCAGTGAGCGCATCGCACCGGCCATCCCTATATAGGATCCGAACCCGCGGCGGGAGCGCTGTCGTGCTCCCAGCGCTGCACTCTCCCGAGTGCGCCACAGGCTCGGCCCCTAGTTCTAAGTTCTGTAAGAGAGGACTCTCCTGATTGGAATGTTGGGCTTATGGCATTCCTAATTCTTCAAAGGCCTAGAAGTCTTTAGGGAACTAATGTGCAATTCA